TAAGTTCAAATGGCACCTTTTTACGTTCAATATAAAAAAGTTAGATCAATTTTTTATATTTTGGTCCACCATTTTATATTCACCATTTTGATTTTTTAAAAAGTAACGATGAATTCGTAAAGATTGTCCTGAAAAACCCTTAGGTAGACATTTTAACGAGTTTAGCTCAATTTCTTGGATTTTTGGTCAGCCATTTAGAATTTTTAAAAAGTAACCGCAGATTCGTAATCAGTGGCCCCGAAAACCCCCGAGTAAACAATTTTACGGGTTTAACTTAATTATTTAAATTTTGGGCTACTATTTTAAGTCTGCCATTTTGAATTTTTAAAATCTAATAACGGATTTGTAATCAGCGACCCTAAAAACCCCCGAGTAACAAGTTTCAGGCGAATCTAAACGATTTTTTAATTTTTGTCCATCATATTGGATCCGCCATTTTGAATTTTTGGAAACGAATACCGGATTCGTAATCAGCGACCCTAAAAACCCCCGTGTAACAAGTTTCAATCGAATCTACACGATTTTTCAATTTTTTTGTCCGCCATATTGGATCCGCCATTTTGAATTTTTGAAAACTAACACCGGATTCGTCATCAGCGACCCCAAAAACCCCCGTGTAACAAGTTTCAATCGAATCTACACGATTTTTCAATTTTTCCGCCATATTGAATCTGCCATTTTGAATTTTTGAAAACTAACAACGGATTCGTAATCAGCGACCCCAAAAACCCCCGAGTAACAAGTTTCAGTCGATTCTAAACAATTTTTCAATTTTTGTCCGCCATATTGGATCCGCCATTTTGAATTTTTGAAAACTAACACCGGATTCGTAATCAGCGACCTCGAAAACCCCCAAGTAGTAATTTTCACGAGTCTAGCTCAATTTTTAATTTTATCCGCCATATTTAATCCGCCATTTTGAATTTTTGAATTTTGAATGGAGATACGTTATCAGTTTGTAAGTAAACTATGTTGTGGTTATTTTTATCGTCATATGTGAAGCTTTAAACAATAATATAGATCATATTAGTGGATTTTTTGTGTTTTTTATGTCGTTTAGGCGCCATATTTAAGTCGCCATTTTGAATTTCAAAAAGCGCCCAACGGGATTAAAAAGTAGACATTCCAAGCTAATTTTTCCAATATGATAAAATTTTTTTAAATTAAACCAATTATGGAGAGATGGGGTGGTCCGGTTGACAAAGAACGTCCCATATATTTTTGTAAATTACTGCGAAAATTTTCATAAATTACCGAAATTAAAAATTTTAATTGCGATTTATGCTTTACATATTTTTATAAATTTTAGACAAAATTTCTATAAATTACTGCATAAATTTCCATAAATTACCTCGAATATTTCCGTAAATTACCGAAATCAAAATTTTTAATTGTCGTTCGCGCTATATATATTTTTGTGAATAACCCCAAAAATTTCCATAAACATTTTAAATCAAATTTCAACTATTTTATAGAATTCAAAAAGCAAAGGATTTTTTTTTAATTTGTTTAAAAAAATTAAAAAATTATAAAAAATTTTCCGGCCCACCATGGGCCCACCATGAAGAGAAAAAAATATTTTTAAAGTTTCAGACACCAAATCGTGCGCTACACGGATAATCACCCATAAAGGAAAATTTGTTTCAACCATTTTTTAAAATTTTATAAATGAAAGAACTGCAAAAAGAAAACAAGCAATAAAAGAATGATTATATATCGAAAATTGGATTGTTCATGTAGAACAAAGAAAATCGGTTAATTGTTGCAATACTTTTTGTATTGTTTTAACAATTCGAAATTGTGATATCAACAAAACTGTTAAAAGAACAAAAAATGGTTTGAAGCAACAAACTATATATATGTATATAAAGAATCCATTTCTTTAATATAATAATTTCCTTTCCTTAGTTAAATTAATAAAAGAATATTGTACCTAACTCTGAAAAAGTTTCCAAATGGTGAAAACGAATATAAAGTTCGATAAAAGACAATTGAAAATTTTTTTAAAAATAAAGCTTGGAGAAAATCTTTAGAAGAATGTTTACAAAATTTCTGAATAGTTTAAAATTTCGATTTAGAAAAAAGATTCATGTAGCCAAATAAGATAAATAAACCATAAACATTATGTATTTTATTTAAATAGATTAATTAAATAATGAATTTTAATAATATAGAGATCAATATCGTATAATATATATATCGCTTTATATTCATTTATATTAAATTAAAAATTTTGTTATATTGTCTGAAATATCGTTGACATATTTGTAAGAAGACACTATTTTAGTGTAACTTTTATTCAAAACCATTTTAAATTAAACGACATTCCTCCTCTCTTATATCCCCGTCCCCTTCCACCACGTACTCCTCCATGTCCTCCTTTTCCTCGTGATCCTTCACCTTTTGATCCAAAATTTCCTCTTTCGAAACCTCTATATCCTCCTCTCCCTCGACCATAATTTTCTTTTCTACCTCTTTCAATGTTTCTTCCTCTGCTTTCATCCCCCATTGTATTTTGTTTATTTTGCCACTGGGTTCTTCTTTCATACCATTCTCTTCTACTTCTGCCGCTTCCTTTATTTCTTTTTCTTACTATTTCTGCATTTAATAAATAGAAATAATATTATTAATAATTAAGAAAATGTCTTGTTATTTTCGTGTTGGATGCATTAATTATATTTTCTATAAATTTTTCATAACTTTAATAAGGTGACATTTCTAAAATTAAATATAAAAAATTTAATTTGTTTATAATTATTATATTATTATATTTGTATAGCTGTGTCAAAATTTATAACAAAGATTTTAATTTAAAATTTAAGTTAAAATTCTAGTAGAAACAACATTTTATTTAATTGTTGTTGAAATAATTTAATTTTTGCAATACCAAGACGATAAATATTATTAGTCTAAATATTTTATTCATAAATTTAATTAACCTTTATTATTCAATCCTTCTTGAAAATTCAAACCAGACTTTTTCCACTCGCTATTCCACACAATTCTAGTTTTCGTGTTCCTTTTTTCGCTTTCATCTGTAAACAATTAGTTTAAATATTATAGTTGTGAATTTTTTGTAATAATATGGATGTAAATTTTGTGTGGATAATAATAATATTTTTATTTTAAAAAATTTTAATGTTTTATAATGATGACAAACTCAAATGTACGATATTTAAATATAAACTTAACTTCATGAAAAGAAATATTTCTGGAAGGATTTAATTTTCCATTATTTAAATTTATCTCAAAATTTATAAACAAATAATTAAATATATTATTATTATTATTTATTATTAAATTTATGTTATTTAATTATTAAAAAATTTTTTTTATTAATATATCTGATAAATCAAAATTAACCTTACCATTCGTTTCATTATTTTCTGCTTTGTTAATTTTTTTATTTTCACCTAATGCTGGATCAATTTCCATATTAGTATTCTGCACTGAAATCAAAAATAGAATTAATTTTTTTAATCATAATATAATTTCAATTACTTCCATTTTTTACTTACAATTTTTTAGTATTTCATTTTCTTTCCTTAATTTGTCAATTGTATCCTGCATTCTATTTATTTCTTCTGTAGACATCTTGACTTATTTTGACATTCGTCTTGGTTATAAAATGAGAGATTCATTTGTCAAAAACGAGCGTAACAATTTTATATTCATATTGACAAAATTTTATTTCAATAAATGTAAACATTTTTTTAATTATAAAAAAATAAAAATGAAAAATATTATTTTATTGTTTTTATATGTTTTTTAAATATGTTTATAAATATAATCTTTTTCTTCCTTACTGCGATCAGAAAAAAAATTTGATTTTTCAAGTGGAAGTTTTGTATTTTGAATCGTTCTTAACTTCGACTTAAATCAATTAATTTTGTAGAAAAAAATTAATTAGAAAAACTATAATACAAAAACGAAATTTTATTTAATTTAAATTGATACTTACTGCATAAAAATTTTCTGGCTACAAGAAATGAATTCTTATAATTTTCAGAAAAATTTACAATTAGAAAACTTAACATAATTATTATTAAAAAATAATGCACTGATTTTTAGTAGATGTAGGGTCAATTGGGGTAAATGGGGACAAGAGGTTTTGGAGCTTAATTTACAGTTTTTAAATTAAGTTCAACATCAATATTTTAACCTCACGTTACCTGTAACAGGTTATGAGTATTGCCAAATGCGAGACAAAATACTGGATTAAAAAAATAATTTCAATTGGTTCAACTATTATATATCTACTACAAAATTTTTTTCAAGTTTTTTCATCCCTTAATACAGCAATATACTTAAATAAACTTTTTCTTAAAACTTTCTTAGAAACAAATAAAAATTGTAAATAAATATGATAAATTAACTTACAGAATCGGATGAAGTAGATAATACATTAATCTCTTCATTCTGTTGAAGAGTACGTAAAATTCTCCTTTGAGTGGAATATGAATAACTTTCGAAATTCTTGTATCGGTGCATATTGTTCATTTATGAATATAATCAATGTATTAATTTTATTTCGATTAATTATTTGAACATTTCAGACTTGAATTATTAAAAAAAATTGTTTTAAAATCTTCCAATAATATAAACTTTAATTACAAAACATATACTTGACACGTCAGTCGAAAATTCAGTTTTGACATTTTAAACATAATACAAACTCGCTTTTAATTTGAAAAAAACAATCGATAAAAGTCAAATTTAAAAAATAAATATTTTAATTTAATTTTAATTTATTTAAAAAAATCTTTTAAAATTAAATTTACTTTACAGAAATTAAATTATAATCTTTTATTATTTAAACATAACTAATTAATAAATATATTTTCATTCAAATAAATTCTAAAATATTTAAAAAATTTTGAATAATTTATTGCAATTTTTTTAAGTGACAACATTCAATTTATTGAAATGTCATTTAGTGCAAAAGTGTCAAGTGTTCATGTCAGAAGAAAAAAAAATTAATCATTAAAATCAAACAAAAAATGACTGAGAAAACTAAAACTTTTTGCCTTGTCTTCTGGAAAGAAGACAAAACATATAGTGTTATGGAAGAACCTCAGGAATTAAAAAACATTTGTGACGGAGAGGAGGCAGATTTAGTGGAAGAAGGAACTTCATATAAAATTATTGTTTTGGCAAGAAGCGGTAATTATACTTTTTTTTAATAATAAAAAAATAACAGCTAATTACACTCATTTTCTTAATAGTTTGGAAAAATTTTAATTTATTAAATTACTATAAAATTAAATATTTCAATATTGGTTTGAAAAAATATTTTTATATTTATTTATTTAATTTAAAAATTCGAAGCTTCTAATCGTTTTTTACATTTCTAATATTAAAATTATAATAAATATAGAAAATAAAAAATATCTAAAGAAGTTAGAAGTTTCAACGGAAGGAAATATTATAAAAAAGAAACCGTCTAAAAATAAAAGAATTGATAAATGTAATAAGAATAAAGAAAGAAAAATTGTTCAAGAAGAACTAAACGAAAAAATTCTTAAATTAGGAGTGGACAATATATTTATGAATATGCCTGGACCTTCCAAATTTCAAATTCCAATAGGTAACTGTTTTTCCTCATTCTTTTTTTTTAATTATATATATTTTCTTTTTTCCTTTCATCTATTTTTTTCTCCATTCTCCTTCACTCAATAATAATTCGTCCTGATTTATTCATGAATAATAACCTGAAAATTATTTTTTTAGATGTTAAATCAAATAGAACTGACGAAGAATTAGTTAAGAGCGACAACCAAAGAGACTTTCTGCAAGATTCGGAGAATAAAATAATAAATTCTAAAACTGAACTTACGAAGTCACAAGTCCCAAAAAGTAATAATTTCATTCTAAACAAAGAGAAAAATACTCTCATTTACTCTTTCTCTTACTCTATATATTTTCATCAGTATCTTTAATTCTCTTTTATTTTATATTTTCTCTAATTCACTCATTGCCTAATTCTTACTTTTTCACGCGTTCTCCCATTCACTCTTATACCTCTCAACTCTTTTTCACTTCTCCACTACTGTCTGTCTTATTGTCTTATTCTCACTTTTTTCGTCTCAATCAGTTGCTGTTTCTTCTTTTTTGTATCTTATAAATTCTTTTTTTCTCATTCTCCCTTCCACTTCCTTTTTTCTTTCATCCTTCTCCATTTCTTTCTCTCGCTAATATATTTGTAGCTTTTTTTCATTTTTAATTCTATGGTTAACGAAAAACAGAAATACCAGACATGTAAATGGGATGAGCAAAAAGTTTTGAATGTTCAAATTTTTTTTAATCTATAAATTATTAAAAATTATGATGTCAATGTAAAATAAAACAATAAATTAAACAATTATTAAAGTAAATAACTTCTTTTTAGAAATTTAAAACAATATTTTGTAATAAAATTCGTAATTAAAGGAGTTGGAAAAAAATTCGTTCATTTGAACGTTCAAAACTTTTGGCTCATTAAATGGAAATTTTCTTATCTTATTTATTGACAGTATAAATTGTCATCACTTACTCCTGCAAAATAATCTAACACGTATCTTTAAAGGCGGCGACTCAATGAAAAGCAAAAAAAGAGATTCAAATACTCATAAGAAAAGTAACTTTACTGAAGATATTAAAAGCAAAAACTCACATAACAATATTGCTCCAAATAAACAGATGCCTAAAATTTCTAAAGTACAAAAACCAAAAGGTAACTATTTTAACTTTAAAAACGAATTTAGCCAAGCCCTAAATCTAATTTTTCTCTATATCTGTATTATTTTCCTTTGTAAAATTTTTTAATTCTTTCCACTCTCCATTTTCAAATTTTTTCTTTAATTAATCATTTTTACTCTTATTACTATACACTATTATTCTTTTATCCATTTCACTTTATTTTACCATTCCTTTTTTTCTCTACAATAATTCTCATAAAATGTTCTCTTTTACTTAATATTCTAAAAAAAATCTTAGTAGTGCTAAAAATAAAAATTTCCAAATATTAAATTTAATAAAATCTTAGTCGTGTATTTTAGTTTTCCTCATTTATTCATGAATAATAATCTAAAAACCATTTCTTTTAGGTGCTAAAGCAAATAGAAATGACGCAGAATCATTAAAGAGCGACAACCAAAGTGAATTTTTGCAAGATTCCGACAATGGAAATTCTGACAATGAAATAATAAAATCTCAAATTGAACTTTCGAAGTCAGAAGTTCCAAAAAGTAATTATTTTATAGTAACATAAAAAGAGAAAAATATTCTCTATATATCTTTCATTTTCTTTAATTCTATTTGTTTCTAATTCCAACATTGCGTGTTTCTTACTTTTTCGCACCATTTCACACTTATACTTCCTACATCTCTTTCACTTGTCCACTTTTGTCTTTCTATTTGTCTTCATAGAAAAAACCTTATCTCATTTTTGTTGCCCATCAACATGAGCCGCCTACACGGCTTATTCTGAGTTCAGTTTTTTTCTTTGTTATTCTGGTTTTTCTTCTTAAACAGTCATCTTTTCTTCTTATCTTTTGTATATTTTAAACTCTTTTTCTTATTTTCTTTTCCATTCCCTTCATCTTCACCATCTCTCTTTTCTTCTTACTTTCTTTAACCCTCTATTATCTAAGTATTTTTTTATTCACTACTTTAACAAAGAAAATTCTTCTAATAAACATAAAATAGAAATTTATTTTTATATTATTATGAGAAGAAAAAGTCTTAAATTTGTGCGAATCTGAACATTCTCTAATTCTTGTTTACTAAATGAATTTGTCAATCTGTTTGGTCGCAACTTCCAATAAAACAGATTGCTTAATTTTGAGTGAAATACTTCTGTCCACTAATTGCATCATTATAATTAAATTATATAAAAATATATAAATTATTTTTAAAGGTAACATGAACGATAGCAAAAATACTGATCCGGTCGCAATAATTGAGCATGTTAAATATTTACCTGGACATTCAAAACAACAAATGCCAAAATGTAATTATTTTAACCTAATAATTTACATCAAAACACACATATACCATACTAGCATAAATCAGATTTCCGCTTCCATCGGATAATTTTTCTTGCTTTAGAAATCCGATATATATGGGTTTATTCAGTCTCTCTTAAACTCTTAATTACTCTATCTTACTTTTTCTTTATAAACAAATTTAAATCTAAAACATATATTTTTCTATTTTCTAGTTCCTCCGGAATTTGTTACATTTCTGCGACAATTTTTGGCCTTCGCAGAAAGTAATCAATCAAATGAAAATTCAGATGATAGCAACCAAGTCCGTTATCTTTTCATCCAATATAAAATTTTCTTTGAAAGAAGAAAAACTTCTTAGTTTCAAAGAAAATTTCTTTCATTCGAAAAAATTTTCTTTGATTTAAAGAAATTTGTGCATTAAATCGAAGAAATTGTAATATTGATATAGGGCCAAAGAAACATTTATTTCAATTAAATAACAAATTTCTTTGAAACGAAGATAATTTTTTTGTGATCAAAGATAATTTTGTTTGAAACAAATTAATTTTCTTTCAATCAAAAAAAAATTTGTCAAAGAAATTGATTTCTTTTAATCAAAGAAATCTTTTTTCTCGATGCGTTTTATTCACTATTTCTATTTCTCTAATAACTTAATTATTCACCCTTACTCCTAAAATATTACTTTCATTTCATCCGTTTTAATGTAGTTAACAAACCTGTTATCCAGCGAAGGTATTGAAAATAATCAAAATAAAGTTTCCATAATAAACGATACTTTGGTGATTCGGAAATCACAAGAAGTAGAATTCACCCGCTTTAAAAAAAAACCTAAAGAAATGGTTCGTCGCTTGATGTTAGAATTAGTAGGTCGCGACGAACTGAAAACAATGACTGCTCTCGGAAAGCAAACGGTAGGAAGTAAAAGAAAGGAAATTCCAGAACAAATCAGGAATTGTGTTTACAGTGTGTATCGTCATTGTTATGTATTAATTTTTATTAATTTTATTAATTAATTAAATTTTATTATTAATTTTTTTCAGATTATATTATGAAACATTCAAAAGGATTAAGCTATACCAAATATATTGATACACTTAATAATCAATGCTGCACATTGAGAAATCCGAAGAGCTCAATTCCAACGAACATAAAAAAAAATAATCAAAATAACAAGCGTAAAAATATTGAAGATGAGGATTCTGGAAGTGAGCATGAATTAAGTGAAAGGTATATCATATATAAAGCATGTGTGACCGGGTCAGAAAAAACGGTGTTATCGACTGAAAAATCGATTTTTTTGTGATGGTTTCTTACAGTTTGAGGTCCTAAAAATACAATGCAACTATAGTCCTAAATGTAAAAAAAATTTGTTGCATTTGTTTAAACAAATTAAAAAAAAAAATTTATTTTGAAAAATTTTTTTAATGAAAATATAAGTAATTCTAAGGCAAAAATTACTCTTGGTATTTTTGCTTAAAATAAAAAATTGAATGCCAAAACCATTAACAAAAAATTAGAGCTAAATTCTGCGCGATGATCCATAAGTATATATTCATCATCGGCGACCTGGTTCTATAGATAAAAAATAACCGTGGATTATTGTGCGGTTGTCAGTTCTGAAGGTGCATAAAAAATTTCAGTCCTCTAGAACATCAGCAAGTCGTTCAAATTAAATTTTAAAATTTCATATTTTGACTTTTGCAAAACAAATTGTTTATAACAATAACACTGATGTTCAAAAAATAAAAAAAATAAAATTTTATTCATAAAAATCGTGTTCAACATAAAAAATACATAAGGAACACTTATCTAGGTCCTTAGAAATATAAAATGTTTCAAGAAATCTATTTTAATTGGTAGTAAAACTTTTAACGCGTTTTTCTCAAAAAGTTGATTTTGGTCGATACCACCGTTTATAGGTAAAATATGTATAGAAAATTGTTTAAGGGTACATCTTAATAATAATAAAAATTAACAACAATAACTGTATATAGGGAGGATTCTTCAGAAGCAGAATCAATGGCTAAAAAGCAAAAAATCAATTCAAGTGAAAATTTATGTTCTGAGCAATGATTTCAATAATTTTTTTTTAAATTTGAAGCTTATTAAATTGACATTAGTTTTTGTTTACCATTTCTATATTATCAATTATGTTTAAACTTTAAACATAATATAAATAATAATAATAATAAAAATCCATTATAAAATAAGTACAATAAAATACATTTTGTTGAAAAGTAAGGTTTAAAGAAATTTATTTGAAATTATAAGTACAGGAATTTTACTAAATATGATAAAAAACAAAAAATGTTTTGCCATGGTTCATCCAGGGTAAAAACATTTTTGTAATCAATAAAAAAGACAAAAAATGTTTCGCCATGGTTCATCCAGAGTAAAAACATTTTTGTCTTGATCCATGGTTCGCCAAGGGTTAAAGACAGTGACAAAAATTCAATAAAAAAGACAAAAAATGTTTTGCCATGGTTAAGCCAGGGTAAAAAATGTTTTGTCTTGATCCATGGTTCGCCAAGGGTTAAAGACAGTGACAAAAATTCAATAAAAAAGACAAAAAATGTTTTGCCATGGTTAAGCCAGGGTAAAAACTATTTTGTCTTGATCCATGGTTCGCCAAGGGTTAAAGACAGTGACAAAAATTCAATAAAAAAGACAAAAAATGTTTTGCCATGGTTAACCCAGGGTAAAAACTGTTTTGTCTTGATCCATGGTTCGCCAAGGCTTATAGTAAGAAAAATTCAAGAAAAAAGACAGAAAATGTTTTGCCATGGTTCATCCAGGGTAAAAACATTTTTGTCTCAATCCATGGTTCGCCAAGGGTTAAAGAAAGTGACAAAAATTCAATAAAAAAAGACAAAAAATGTTTCGCCATGGTTCATCCAGGGTAAAAACATTTTTGTCTTGATCCATGGTTCGCCAAGGGTTAAAGACAGTGACAAAAATTCAATAAAAAAGACAAAAAATGTTTTGCCATGGTTAAGCCAGGGTAAAAAATGTTTTGTCTTGATCCATGGTTCGCCAAGGGTTAAAGACAGTGACAAAAATTCAATAAAAAAGACAAAAAAGGTTTTGCCATGGTTAACCCAGGGTAAAAACTGTTTTGTCTTGATCCATGGTTCGCCAAGGGTTAAAGACAGTGACAAAAATTAAATAAAAAAGACAAAAAATGTTTTGCCATGGTTAAGCCAGGGTAAAAACATTTTTGTCTTGATCCATGGTTCGCCAAGGGTTAAAGACAGTGACAAAAATTAAATAAAGAAGACAAAAAATATTTTGCCATGGTGAAGCCAGGATAAAAACTGTTTTGTCTTTATCCATGGTTCGCCAAGGGTAAAAGTAAGAAAAATTCAATAAAAAAGACAGAAAATGTTTTGCCATGGTTCATCCAGGGTAAAAACATTTTTGTCTCAATCCATGGTTCGCCAAGGGTTAAAGACAGTGACAAAAATTAAATAAAAAAGACAAAAAATATTTTGCCATGGTTAAGCCAGGGTAAAAACTGTTTTGTCTTGATCCATGGTTCGCCAAGGGTTAAAGACAGTGACAAAAATTAAATAAAAAAAGACAAAAAATGTTTCGCCATGGTTCATCCAGGGTAAAAACATTTTTGTCTTGATCCATGGTTCGCCAAGGGTTAAAGACAGTGACAAAAATTAAATAAAGAAGACAAAAAATATTTTGCCATGGTTAAGCCAGGGTAAAAACTGTTTTGTCTTGATCCATGGTTCGCCAAGGGTTAAAGACAGTGACAAAAATTAAATAAAAAAGACAAAAAATGTTTTGCCATGGTGAAGCCAGGGTAAAAACATTTTTGTCTCAATCCATGGTTCGCCAAGGGTTAAAGAAAGTGACAAAAATTTAATAAAAAAGACAAAAAATGTTTCGCCATGGTTCATCCAGGGTAAAAACATTTTTGTCTTGATCCATGGTTCGCCAAGGGTTAAAGACAGTGACAAAAATTAAATAAAAAAGACAAAAAATATTTTGCCATGGTTAAGCCAGGGTAAAAACTGTTTTGTCTTGATCCATGGTTCGCCAAGGGTTAAAGACAGTGACAAAAATTAAATAAAAATGACAAAAAATGTTTTGCCATGGTGAAGCCAGGGTAAAAACTGTTTTGTCTTGATCCATAGTTCGCCAAGGGTTAAAGTAAGAAAAATTCAAGAAAAAAGACAGAAAATGTTTTGCCATGGTTCATCCAGGGTAAAAACATTTTTGTCTCAATCCATGGTTCGCCAAGGGTTAAAGAAAGTGACAAAAATTCAATAAAAAAGACAAAAAATGTTTCGCCATGGTTCATCCAGGGTAAAAACATTTTTGTCTTGATCCATGGTTCGCCAAGGGTTAAAGACAGTGACAAAAATTAAATAAAAAAGACAAAAAATATTTTGCCATGGTTAAGCCAGGGTAAAAACTGTTTTGTCTTGATCCATGGTTCGCCAAGGGTTAAAGACAGTGACAAAAATTAAATAAAAATGACAAAAAATGTTTTGCCATGGTGAAGCCAGGGTAAAAACTGTTTTGTCTTGATCCATAGTTCGCCAAGGGTTAAAGTAAGAAAAATTCAAGAAAAAAGACAGAAAATGTTTTGCCATGGTTCATCCAGGGTAAAAACATTTTTGTCTCAATCCATGGTTCGCCAAGGGTTAATGAAAGTGACAAAAATTCAATAAAAAAGACAAAAAATGTTTTGCCATGGTTCATCCAGGGTAAAAACTGTTTTGTCTTGATCCATGGTTCGCCAAGGGTTAAAGACAGTGACAAAAATTAAATAAAAAAGACAAAAAATGTTTTGCCATGGTTAAGCCAGGGTAAAAACATTTTTGTCTTGATCCATGGTTCGCCAAGGGTTAAAGACAGTGACAAAAATTAAATAAAGAAGACAAAAAATATTTTGCCATGGTGAAGCCAGGATAAAAACTGTTTTGTCTTTATCCATGGTTCGCCAAGGGTAAAAGTAAGAAAAATTCAATAAAAAAGACAGAAAATGTTTTGCCATGGTTCATCCAGGGTAAAAACATTTTTGTCTCAATCCATGGTTCGCCAAGGGTTAAAGACAGTGACAAAAATTCAATAAAAAAGACAAAAAAGGTTTTGCCATGGTTAACCCAGGGTAAAAACATTTTTGTCTCAATCCATGGTTCGCCAAGGGTTAAAGTGCATTAATTTCATGACAATCAAAGAAATGTATTTATGCTCTTCAGCCAGGCATTTCCCAGACCATGGGAAACGATCATAAGCAAGGGTTATCCCAGGGAATGTATTTGCCCTAGCCTATGGTTTCGCCAAGGTTTTTTACATCTTACTTCGAACCTTCTCCCAGGGTCTTCCCTGGGTTGACCATTTCTACGCGGGTAATCATGATTATCCAATCATATACTCTGTATGCACTGTTTCTATTCATTC